CAGAAGCAAAGGAGGAGACACCAGTAAGACCTCCCCCGCTAGACCCCTTGTGGCCTGGCTGGGGCACCAGCATGCCTCCCGCAGAGCCCTCCAGGCGGTGCTGGATTTTTTCCAGTACCAGGTTTCCCCGTGCAGGGTGGGTCCCCGTAGCTTGCCTTTTGCTCGGGAGGCGTGGGCAAAACAAATAGGTGAATCACGGAGAGCTTGCCGTCTACAGTGGTGGAGCTCCCTGCGAAGCTGACCTTTGCATAAAGACTCGGAGGAGGTAAAGGAGCCAAGCATGTAGGAGTTTCAGGGAGAGTGCTCCCGGCAGAGGAAACGGCAAAGGCCTTAAGACCGGACCGTGCTTGCCGGGCTGAAGGGACAAGTTGGCCAGCACGACTGGTCTTGAGCAGAGGGCGATGTGATGTGACTTGCCAGGTCACGCGATGTGCTGTGTTGAGAGCGGGCTGTCGGGAAGCAAAGGCAGAAGCAGGCTGATGAGGTAGGGCCGCTGCAGCGTCCAGGCTGGGGGTGAGGGTGTCTCTCCCCACGGGGTCACGGAAGTGGGCAGAAGTGGTTCGAGTCTGGAATTCCAAAGGATGGATGGATGGATGGTTGAGAGAGAGAGAGATCGCAAAGACCTGGTCGTAAAAGCTCACAGACTAGTTGGATGGAGAAGACAGGGACCTGCAGAAAGAATTCAACGGATGAATGAAGCAGTACAGGTGTGGTCCCTGAGGAGTGTGCAGTCTGGGTGGGCAGGAGCCCCGAGGAAGAAGTCTCCTGTGGCCTGGAGTGGTTCGGGGAGACTCCAGGAGTGGAGGCGAATCTCGAAGGAAAGGGAGATGTAAACGGAGGAGAGGAAGAGGAGGGAGCTGCTGGGGGGGCACTGACTGGAGCAAAGCCTTCAGGGTTAGGACGACCGTGCTGTGTTTAAGGGACCTCTGGGACTGCGATGAACGGAGCATTCAGTGACTGAGTGTGTACACGTGTGAGCGTGTGTTTGTGTGTGTGACGACCGTGCTGTGTTTAAGGGACCTCTGGGGACTGCGATGAATGGAGCATTCAGTGACTGTGTGTGTACACGTGTGAGTGTGTGTGCTTGTGTGAGTGTGCCTAGTGTGAGATAGGGTGGCTAGATAGGCTGAGCCCTGATGGAGAAGAATCTTAAAAGTCAAGATGAGAAGCGAAGGGGTTGGGGACCCAGGAAGGGCTTTAAGCCGCCACGTGGCATGGGAAAGAGTACATTTAGACTCACAGGATTAAGGAGAGGAGAGGGTCGAGATCATATGGTCCAGGGTCTTACAATGGCCTGGGTTCTGAAGACACCTCCCAGCAGTTTCCACGAGAGGAATGAAAAGAATGAGTGAATGGGGGGTTCTTGCCCCATCTCTCCTGCCTGAAACCTAACTAAATAAGCTTGATTTTAATTCCTGTATTTTCTCATTAGAAGAAACGAAGTCAGGACTCTTTCAGGTGTAGGTGACAGAAATCAAGTCAAACTGGCCTAATCAAAAGGGGGACTTTGTTGGCCACATAGCACAAACCTGCTTCAAGGACAGTTGGCTCTATCCATCCTCACAGCTCCATCAGGGCCTCCTCTGGTCTGAGACGAGAAGAACTAGATGGTGCCTGGCCACTACGACCGACAGCTCTGACCAGGACTACAGTCGAAGTTCCTGAACAGACTGGTAGAAAATTCAGAATCAGAAGAAAGCCCAGACCTACTGATGGACGGATAGAGACTGGAGGACCCCCCAGCCTATCGTCCACGCTGTTGTAGTGCCACTGAGTCAGGTCTGACTCAGACAGACAGTGAAACACTGCCTGGTCTTTGGCCGGCCTCACAATGGTGCTTCCTTGTTGAGGGCCTGCTTGTTCGCTGCCCCTCCACTTAACCAAGCAGGATGTCCTTCTCCAGGGACTGTCTCTCCTGACAACATGTCCAAAACACAGGAGACAAAGTCTTGCTATCCTTGCTCCTAAGGAGCGTCCTGGCTGTACTTCTTTCCAAACGGATGTGTTTGTCCTTTTGGCAGTCCACGATACGTTCAATATTCTTCTCCAGCATCATAATTGGAACACATCGATTCTTCTTTTGTCTTCCTTATCCAGTGTCCAACTTTCATAAGAGGTGATTGAAAATACCTGGCTTGGGTCAGGCTCACCTTAGTCCTCAAAGTAACATCTTTGCTTTTCAGCACTTTCAAGAGATTGCATGCAGCAGATTTATCCCATGCAGGGGGTCGTTTGGCCCATAGACACCCTTTCGATCTAGAAGGGGACCCACACTCAGAGTTCACCTTTCATCCAAATGATAGACGAGCCTATAACGTGAAGAGCATGTTGTGGGAGGAACGTGAGCATGCTCTGCAGAACAATGAGCCACCTAAAACCGGAAGGGCAGCACTGGCCCCAAGCGAAGTCCAGCGGGCAGGCCGGCCAGGGGAGGCGGGCGAGTGGAAATGGGGCCCCGAGAGGAAATGGGGAGAATGCTGTGACAGTGCAGGGGTGCGGGGCAACGCAGGTCAGGAAACCAAAGGCGTGTACAGTCTGGAATGGTAAACTCGTGCGCTCTGTGCCCTGGCGCCCAAACCGCAGCAAAAGGTTCGAAAGCAAAAACAAAGCAGGCATCCACTGGTCTCCAACTCTCTGCTCGGCCTCTCTCTCCTCGTTCTGGTCTCGTTCTCAAGCAGGCTGGTGGCAGCAAGAGCCCTCGTCCTCGCCCCGGATCTGGAAACCTCAGGGGAGCCAGGGCTTCTCTTCTCCCGGAGTTCCCCCCCAAGACGCTGCCAATTGAGTCACACTGGATTAGTGGACCGATGGACCTTGCCCTGGGTCTAGAGAGACAGAGGGCTCTGATTGGTCGAAGGCTCCCAGAATCAGGCGGCATGCCTGAGGACATGTCAAAATCCACAACATTTTTCCCAACAAAAAGTTTTCGAGAATGGACTCCGCCCTCCTCGAAGGAGACAGGGGTCTCTCTCGAAGAGCCGTGGGCTGCCAGAGTGGGTGTCAGAGGACAGCTGTGGTTGGGGGTGGGGATTGTGTGCTGAGCACATAGTAGGTGTTCAGGTAGCTTCCAACGGAAGAAATGGAGCGATGGGTGGATGGCCAAGTGGCCATGGGGGCTGCTTTCCCATGACACCACATCTCCCCTGCACTCTTCCTTTCAGAGAGGGGCTATTTGAACTTGACCTCCGAGCAGAAGCTATTCCAGGAGGTCAGCCTGGGTGAGAAGCTCAGCCTCAAAGTTAAGGTGGAGGCCTACCCGGCCCTGCGAAGCTTTAACTGGACCTACCAGGGGCCCTTCTTCAACCAGCAGCGCAAGCTCGATTACATCCTCACCAAAGACAAGTACAGGTATCCTGTCAGCTCCCAGCTGCACAGCCCCAAGCCAGCGGGGTTCAGGACAGGGCTTCATGCTTCAAGCTTGCCGTGTGACCCTGGGCATCCGCTGCCCGCTCTGAGGCTCACTCTCCCTGACCATAGACCGCCTCAGCATTCGTCCCCCTGGTTGGAGAGTGGCTCACACGGGCTCCTGTTCTGCCCCACATCCCTGGGAGAGCAGTACCCTCCTCAGAATCCTGCCATTGCTTGGGTGTGCCTTCTCAGGGTCACCCGGGAACCCTCAGCCTCACGTTTTCTCCTGTGATCAACCCGGATGGGGAAAGCAAGCCCTACCTCGTGATTCCCGCTCACCTACACACTCCTGGGGGCACGGCGGGAGCCCTGGTGGTGTCACAGTTATGAGCTGGGTTGCTAACCACCGGGTCAACAGTTTGAGACCCCCCGCTGCTTTACCGGGGAAAGATGAGGCTTTCTACCTTATGATCTCAGAAACCCACCAGGCCAGTGCCCCCTGCCCCACAGGGTCCGAGCATTGGAACAGACTTGCTGGCGGAGAGTCCGGCTTTTGCCGTCGGGCACACACACAGGCTTGGCGGGACAGAGTGCGGCAGCAGCACACATCCTCACGGAAACGCAGTCCTTTTGGAAAATGGTCACGTTTGGTGCTCCTCGGATTTCGGAGGAAATGTATTGCTCGTATTATATATTACAAGGATCACCGACTGACAATATTGTTTTACACTAGGTCTGTGGAGGGGGGGTGAGGGTTTTTTTGTTATTAAAACAGACACTTTAGATAGAAAAATTTGATGCTGATTCTCACCCACCCTGAGAATTTCTCCCTGACCTTTCTGTATCAGGGGCTCAAAACTCCTCTCAGGCTGTGCAACCTGACCCACGTTCCCCTCCCCGCTACGCTCAACTCCCCACCCCAGAGCCCCCTTCTTCCTGTCCCCTTATGGACTGGTTCTCAGGGACTTACCTTCACTACCCAAAGTGACCTAACTTTTGTTACTAGTCTTATTCTAAATAAGGATTTGCCTTCCTTAAGGGGAACACCCATTAAAGCCCACTGCCACCGTTGATTCCGAATCATGGCCGCTCGATGTAGGGTTTCTGAGGCTATACGTCTTTAAGAGAGCGGACAGCCTCATCTTTCTCTCCAAGAGTGGCTGGTGTTCTTGAACCGGGGCCTTGCGGTTAGCAGTCCAACGTCTAACCCACTGTGCCACCAGGGCGCTTCAAGAGAAGTACTCACAGCAGGAGGGAGCACTGTCGTTTCTTGATTGGGCTCGCTTAGACTGAGATTGAGCAGCAACTGCTGGATCAAGCTGCAGACCACAATGTGCCCTCCCGCACTGAGGACCCACACCCCTAATCCGTTTCTCACTCACTCGTTTTTGAGGATGGGCATTGCGCACAGCCTCAAGATTGTACTGTGTTCGTAAGGAAGCAAACAAGCTTAGAACTGGCTCACTGGTCCCTTCCCCTCTCATCTCCTCCCAGCTAAAAAGCTTTTATCTCTGGACAGCCAGCAAGTTCTCTTAGATCTACAGTCAGGCTCCATGCATTCAAGCCCCAGCCCATCCTCCTTGGCAGTTTTAGCTGTCTTCCAGAAGTTCGGCTCTGTCTGCTCGCCGTAGCTCCCCAGTACACAGACACCCCTTGCCCTTCTTGTACTGTGCTGCTTGTGGGGTTGGGTTTCTTTCAGGAACTCTCATCATGTTTGTGGGTATGCCATCAGCCCCTAAAGCCCTAGTCCCTTGTAGGACCTTTTCCTTGGGAGTCTAAATGCAACCTCCGAGCCTTCTCCACCCAGTCTCTCTCTCGGCCTGGGTTCCCATCAGAACAAAGTCATCCACAGCACTCCCTGGGCTCTCTGGACTCTGAAGCCCAAACCTCACCGGACCCTGGACTCTCCCTCACTGACAGTCAGAGTGGCAAGGCTGTTGCCTGGCCTTTGTCTTCTTCTCCTCGTCCCTTCTGGGCAGCATCTCTGTCCTCCTCTGGGCATGAGCAGCCCTTCTGAGTCTGGAGTCTGTGTCCGCAGAGAGGAAACTGGGGCATGGACCAGTCTCAGAGCTTCATAGCAGCAAAGACACTGCAGAAGGAAACAGAGACACGCCCCCCCCTGCCCCAGAATGTCAGTCTGGGACCTTCAGTGAAGTTGATGGGGTAGATGGGATCTGTGTTGAATTATCTTCAGAAATGACCTCAAAGTCTGGCTTGTCATGGCTGCAGGCTGGCAATGCTGTCATCTCTTTATCTATATAGGCTTGTTGAGATGGGTAGGAACACCACCATCCCCTCCTTACCGGCGCATGCCACGTCGGAGAGGCCTGGCAACCCTCATCTGTTGAGCTTGCTGTGGGGTGTGACTCTGCTGTGTGACTCACGGGGTCTCCCTGAGTCAGAATCGGCCCACCAGCACTGGGTTTAGGTTTTCCTTTTTTCCACTTTGTTTTGTTTTGAGATACGGTTCTCACACCATCCCATCTGCCTGTGTAAGCTGACGTTCCCTGGTTTCAGCATATTCATGAATGAAGTGCATGTCCCTTGCTCTCTCGCCATTCTTCCTCTATCCCCCAGCTCCTCCCTGTCCAAGCCTCACCCACCACCACTCTGCTTCTGTCCTTAGAGATGCCCCTCAGCTGGACTTTGCCCTGAACAGACGCCCATGTGGGTCCTTTATGAGCCCAGTGTTTCCGAGGTCCCTGCCCACTGTCGCCTGGGTCAGTACGGCATTCCTTCTGCACGGACAGACCAAGGATCCCTGGTGGCACTGTCAGACATTGGGCTGCTGGCTGATAGGTCCATGGTTCAAACCCACCATCGGCTCTGTAGGAGAAAGATGAGCACGCCTGCTCCGATACACATGGAGAGCCTCTGAAACCCCACATTCGAAGGCCCTGGGTTTGGGGTCAGGATAGACCACATCCTGTGCTTTGAGAGCAATTGGCTTCTTCCCACCTTGGGCAGCTGTGAATGATACTGCTAGAAGCCTTGACTGATAAGTTTTGCCTGGGGTTCTCTCTCAAACCCATGTATTACCTAAATAATACCTCTTCTTGGTGGACAAGTTATAAGGCAGATAATATGAAAAGAATAAAGTAAGAATAACCTGCTACTTCCACCAGCCAGGAAGGCCTTGTGTCACTGTTGCCCCCGGGCCTTTCCCTAGTAAAAAGCAAGCGGTACTGTCAGAGACCCTGCCGGGAGGAGAAGCAGTACCCCACAGGCTTTCCACGGCTGCGATTGTCACAAAAGCCGGGGCCACAGCTTCCTCCATGGAGTGGCCGGGGGCTTTGAACTGCTGGCCTTTGGGTCAGCAGCTGAGCTCCTCGCCAGGGCTCCTTCTTGGGCAATAACAGGTCCCGTTAACTTTAGTGTGTGCCGCGAGCCCGGCTCTGCCAGTCACCCTCAAGAGTCCTGTCATCCTCAGATCAGCTCTGGGGATCCAGCCCCATCAGTCGCACCCACAGAAGCGGAAGTCAAAGCCCAGAGAGTGAAGGACTCACCCAAGCTCACACAGCTAAGAAATGGCAGCACCAGGACTGGAGCCCCACCTTTTTAGCCCCAGAGCCAGCCAGCCTGCCTCTTGTCCCCCTCACAGGCCCCTCGAGCGGGTTAGCATCTGGCAGAGGGCAGGGTTGCTGCTCTTGGGAAAGGAGGGTGGTTAAAGGTAGGCACATTCCGTGGGTGCCCTTTGCGAAAGGAGCCCTGTGCTGAAGTTCAGGACGAAGCCACTTCACAGATAAGAAGCCAGGTCTCCAGGCACTCGGTTGAGTGCCCTTAATGCCTTATTTTTTTAAAAAAGTCCTCAAAAGTCTTTTAATTAGCCCAGCCTCACTGTCCTTGTGCGGGCCTGACCGGGGCTGGGGCTCACTCACATCACCTGTTCCAACCCACCAGGTATACCTCCATTCTCTCCCTGCCCCGCCTGAAGCCTTCCGAGGCCGGCCGCTACGTCTTTCTGGCCGGAAGTGAGGTGGTCAGCGAAGCTCTGACCTTCCAGCTCATCCTTCGATGTGAGTGATGGGGTGGAGTTGGGGGCTTGGCCCACTGAGGCTGCTTGCAACGATGGGCTTGAGTAGGGAAGGGGGCTGCTGGGGGCCTGAGATGAGCCGGCTCAGTTGGGGCGAGGGGTGGGAAAAGGGGACTTGGGCCTCCTGTTTGACCTCTCCCTCCCTCTCTGCACCTCCTTTCCTCCTCAGACCCCCCAGAGGTCAAGGTCTCATGGACCCACATCAACGGCTCTGGTGCCCTGCTCTGTGATGCCACCGGGTACCCGCAGCCCAATGTGACCTGGTTTCAGTGCCAGGGCCAAGCTGACAGGTGAGTGGACTTGGGCTCGGCTATGCGGAGAGGCTGGGCCGAGGCTGGACAGCCTGTCCGGGGGCCCTGCCCTCAGTGCTGCACCGCCACTCCGCTCTGCTCCCCCCAGATGTGACGGGGCCCAGGAACTGCTCTTGGAAGACACACACCCTGAGGTTCGCAGCCAGGACCCCTTCCACAAGGTGGCAATCCGGAGCCTGCTGCCCCTCGGAACCCTGGGACAGAACATGACCTACAAGTGCAGGGCTCACAACGGGGTGGGGAACACCTCCCAGGTCTTCTGGCCCATCTCTGTGGGTAAGTCTCTCCTTCCGCCCCCTCCAGGCTAGGAGAGAGGGAGCCTAGGATGTGCCTCCATGCTTGGGGGAGCAGATCCCTGAAAGGCTGAGCCCTGCCTCTCCATGAGGAGTCCTGGGGATGCTCTGGGAGGAAGAAGCAGCTGGGGGTGGGGTGTGGGGTGTGGGGTGGGGGACCAGGACAGACAGGCAAGGGAAAAGGCAGCTTGAAGCAAGCACAGCCTAGCCAAGCCGCCTGAGTCTGAAGTAATTCCTTCCACACTGTGTGCTTGGCAGCCACTGTGCACCCAGAACTTGGAGTCTGGCCAGGGAAACCGCCAACAAGCTGGTAAACCTGGCTCCCCCCCACCCAGGGCAGCCCCAGAGGGCCCTCCAGCCACCTGAGCCACAGTCCCATGCACACAAGACCACTGCCTAGGCGGTAGGGGTTGATGCCCAGGTTGCATCTGCCCAGAGGCTCCCCGGGCTAGCTAGCTCTGTGGTTCTGAGAGGCTACAGCTGCAGAGAAGGGCAGAGTCCTCAGCAGACCTTTTACAAGCAGCCTTCAGCACCGAGCAGTACTGAACCAGACCCCAGGGAGCCTCTCTAGGCCCAGAGAGGGCAGACGGCGGGGGTCCCAGGTCTCGGCCTGGCTCAGAGCCTTAGCTGCTGGCCTTGGGCCAGATTCTGCTCGCCCCTGGCTGTGGCCACTTGGGACCTCCCTGCTTTGGGCAGTGTTAAAGTAGGCTCGGTAGCCTTTGGGTGCTGCCTGAATGGCCTGGGCCCGGAGCACTCACAGCCTTGGAGGGAAATGGGATCCCCTCCCCCCCCCACCACTTGGGAGCCTCTGAGCTGAGCTTGAGGCTCGGGGAGCATCTCAGGCTCCGTGGCCCATACCTCCTGCCCCAGTTCCTCCTGGTTCTAAGGAACAGACAGCTGCTTTCTCTCAGTTCAGAAGACTGCAAGTGTGAACTCTGGGGCCTCCACTGGACTGGAAGGCTCTCTCTCTGGGGGCTCTGCAGGGAGATCTACTTCCGCTTCTGTAGCCCCGCCTTCCTTGGTTCCTAGGTGACTCCATGCCTCGCCCCCTCTGTGCTTGCTTCTTAATGACTAGCCTGCCCTTTTTGTCTCAGAAAATGAGTATGGGTCAGACTTACCCGCCACTGAAAAAGCCAAAAAGTCCGAAACAAACAAAAGCCTATTCCTAAAGAGGCTCAGACCCGCGGGGGTGGAGGTTAGGTTCCAATATATATATAGTTGTTGTTGTTGTGAGATGCCACGGAGTTGGTTCCAACCCACAATGACCCTGTGCACACGGAGTGAAACCCCGCCCGCTCCTACACCAGCCGACCTCGGTCCCTGTGCCTGAGCCCATGTGGCAGCCACTGTGCCCACCCACCTCGTTGAGGGCCCTCCTCTTTACCAGGATGCTGCCCTGCCCCAGGGACTGGTCTCTCCTGACCACCTGTCCAAAGTATGTAAGGTGAAACCTCTCCATCCCGACCTTTGAGATGCTTCTTCCGAGGAGACTTGCTTGTGCTTCTGGCAGTCTCTAGCAAGGTCAAGTGTCTTCTCCAGCACCATGATTCAGAGGCATTGGCTCTTCAGTCTTCCTGAGTCAATGGTCAAGCTACTGAAGACACCGTGACTCGGGTCAGGCACATCTGAGTCCTAAAAGTAACATCCCTGTTTTTCAACTCTAAAGAAGTCTTGTGCAGCAGATTTACCTAATGCAATGGGTCTTTTGGGCTCTTGACCGCTGCTTCCATGATCATTGATTGTGGATCCAAGATGAAATCCTTGACAACTTCAACCTTCTCTCCATAGAGCATGACGTTACCTAATGAGCCAGGGGTGAGGCTTTTGGACGTTACATTGAGCTGTAATTCATACCGAAGGCAGCAAGTGTTGATCTTCACCAGCAAGTGCTTCAAGCCCTCCTCACTTTCAGCAAGCAAGGCTGTCATCTGCATATCAGATTGCTAGTGCGCCTTCTTCCAGTCCCAGTGCAGCTTTCTTCTTCAGAGAATCCAACTTCTCGGACGGTCTGCTCCGCATAGAGTTTGAATTAGTGTGATGGGAGGATAGAACCCTGACACACACCTTTCCTGATTTTAAACCGTGCAGCATGCCCTTGTTCTGTTTGCACAACTGCCTCTTGATCCGTATACAAGTTCCTCGTGAGCACACTGAAGTGTTCTGGGGCTCCCATCCTTCTCAAGGAGATCCATAGTTTATTATGACCCACACAGCCGAATGCCTTGGCATAGTCAATGCAACACAAAGCAACTGCCTGGTATCCTCTGCTTTGGGCCAAGATCCATCTGACATCGGCACTAACGGGTGTTCGGGAGTCCCTGATTCAGTCAGTCCCACTCCTAAGAGCCTGAGTTCATGACCTGGGCGCTGTGTATCATTTCTGACTCATAGGGACCTTGCAGGATGAAGCAGACTTTCTTCAGCTGTAAGCACAGCTGGGGGGAGCCTGGGTGGTATCGTGGCCAACCACAGGTTGGAAATCACCAGCCACTATGCGGGAGACAGATGAGGCTCTGTGTCACAAAGAGGTTCACAGCCTTAGACACGGCAGTTCTGATGTGCCCTCTACGGTTGCCATGCCTTGGAATCGACTCGATGGCAGTGGGTTTGGTTGGGGGGGAGGGTTCTTGGTTCCTGCCTTCCAGGCAGTGCCTGATGTCAGGGTGCGGAGGAGGCACCGAGGTCCCCTGCCTGCTCACCGCTCAGCCTGTCCCTTCCAGATGCCTCCAGGCACCTCCCTGAGGAGCCCCTGTTCACCCCGGTGCTGGTGTCCTGCCTGTGCATCATGGCCCTGCTGCTGCTGCTGCTGCTGCTGCTCCTGTACATGTACAAGCAGGTGAGCGGGCGCGGGCGCAGGGTGGGCAAGTAGGGCACTGTCAGTCAAATCCAGACAGCACCACTGCGGTGTGGATTTACCGGCGCACACTCTTTCTGTCACCCAGCCTCTGGCCAATGTAGTGCCGGGCCCCTGAGGGCTTGACCGCCCGGTGTGGGAGACAGTCACCAAAAAGTCATGACAGTGAGCTCTCCCCCACTCCCACCCCCAAGGAACCCTCCTGCCACAGAAAGAAGGGCGTGAGGGAAAGATGTGTGGGAGAACGGACTCATGGGGTTCTATCCATGGGGCTGGGCTGGGTCTCATCTCCAGCAGCGAGCAGCCTAGTGGAGAAGATAGAATTATTTAATATCTAAAAGCACTTACGATCAGCGTAGACTGCAGTACACTGTGCCACTTTGCGGGCTCACTGGGCGATAGTGTAAGTTGGGGTGCTTAGTTTATCAAGCTTGTCACCTACACTATCTCCTTCAATGCCCCAGCCAGCATGGGAGGGGACAGGCTCTTCAATGCCTCAGCCAGCATGGGAGGGGACAGGCTCTTCAATGCCTCAGCCAGCTTGGGAGGGGCCAGGCCTCTTGGCTCCACTTCACGGGGAGGACGCCGAGGCCCCCAGAGTTGGTCACAGGTGCATTCGAGGACTGATGGCAGTGCCTTGTTTGTTCACTGTGATGTGAAGCAGCCTCCTCTCAAGCACCTTGTGTCACCCCCACCACCACCCCAATCAATGGGCCACAGCAGTGTCCACGCTCCCAACCAGGAGGCTGAGGCTCAGCCAGGTGGCAGAGCTGGCCCAAAGGAGTGAGAGCTGCTGTCTGCGGACTGAGTCCCAGGTGACTCCCACCCAGAGGCCCAGTGGGCCAGCTGCTAAGAAGGGCCTGGCTAGAGGTGGTGGGACAGGGGTACTGGGCAGTGGAGGGGCATTAGTGGGATGGCCTTGAAGGGGGTGGGGGTGGGAAGGGAAGGGAGATGCAAGGTGAGTTCAGCCTCTCAGGTGTGTGCAGCGGCAGAGGAAGTCCCAGAAACTCTAGTGCTTGGGAGCCGAGATAAAAGGGTGGGAGTCCGAGGGAGGGCACCCTCCTGTAAGTCCGGGGCCAACAGGGGGTGTGAACAAGGGCAAAGTGAGAGCTTTCTTGTGGGCAGAGGGTTTGGAGTGGGGTTGGGGCCAGGTGCTTGGGATTGGGTGCTCTGTGTTCAGGCCGGCAGCACGCACCTCCAGGCCGGGCCCCGATAAAGGAGACCTTACGCCAAGACTTCCTGCTCTAACACTGGTTTGCCACGGGCCCCCCGACCTGTACCATGGGAACGGGGGACCTTAGTTGCTCAGCCTCCTCTGGCATTTCAAGAGCGTACTGCAGCGGCAACAAGGGGCCCAGACCTAACCATTGTGAGGGTGGTGCAGGACCAGGCAGTGTGGCGCCCTTCGGCCGTGCGTATGGGCAGGACGTACTAGCAGTGGTCTAGCTTCAGAGGCCGGGCCTGGACGGAGGGAGCTGGCATCTGTTTCCCCACCTGTCGTGCGGAGTCTGGCTTGCTGGGCATAGGCAGTGCTCACAGCGGAGGCCCCATGTCTCGCTGCGGAGGGAAGTGGGCTTTGGAACCACATCTGCTCCTATGTCTGGGACCAGAAGGATGTCTGAGGTCGGTCAGCTCCTTGACCGCACACTCAAAGTGCTTGCCCACCTCCAGAGAGGCCCTGGCTCTCTGCGGCCAGGTGCCCCTTCCTTCTCCAAGCTCCTGACTGCCGGGAAGTTCTTCCTTAAAAGGAGCTGGAATCCATCCCACATCAGCATGGACAGAGCTCAGGTTCCGGAGGAGGGCCACATCCCAAGCCACCTTTGACCACGGAGTGGGGCCCGCCCGCCTTTCTTTATGTGCATTTCCTGCCCTGTCCTCATCCCCATCTCCCACTCCTGAGCCACCTGCAGGCCAGAGATGGGAGATGCCCGAGGGGTCAAGATGGCCATTCTCCTGCCACAGTGCCTGCCAGCCAATCCTCCTGTTAGCCCCGTTCTCTCGGCCCTTCACTGGGGGCTCACTGCCCAGGCCTGGGCGGGACTAGCCTAGTCCCTGCCCTCCTGTCTGTGGAAGGGTAGCCACAGGCAGGCCTGAGTCAGCGCCTCTCTGGCACGGGGTGACCACAAGAGGAGCCAGCAAGGAGGAAGAGAAAAGGGCAGGGGTCAGCAGTGAGAGGGGGAGGGGCTGCAGGGTGGGGTGAGGAGGAGGAGGAAGAATGGCTGGCCACAGCATTGGGGATGGATGGAGGGGCTCCCCGGCAGCCCCTCTTGAGAGTTGCTCAACTCCCACCCACCCAGAAGCAGTAAGCCCAGGTCCGGGGTGGAAGGGGCTTTGATGGCCATCTCCCACCTCTTTCCCTGGGGGTGAGGCCTGGTGTGAGGCATGCACATTGCGTGTCAGGGAAGTGCTGACAGCACTTGCTGGTCCCTACAGCCAGGATTAGGAGTCCAGGCCTGGCATGGCCTGGCAGCCCGCTGGGGAGGGACACCTCCTGGGCAGGAGCCCCGTGTGCCCTCCCCAGTGGTGGCCTGGGGCGGGGCATCCAGCCCAGCGAAGGAAGAGGGCTGGGTAGCCCAGAAGCAGTGATCTCAGAGATTCCAACCAAAAAGCCTCTTCCTCCTTTAATCCTGCTTTCCAACATCCCCCGCAGGCTGGGGCTGACTCAGGCCAGCTGCACAGGGCAGAGAAAGGAGAAGTGGCGAGGAGGCAAACAGCCTGGGCCTCGGGGGCGCCTGGGACGGCAGTGGCCGGGGTCTGAGAAGTCTCTTCTGAGGGTGGCCTGTTTCTCCGGGGCTCGGAAGTTCTTCAGGATGCCCTGCCAACTCCCCTCGCAGTCGGTCTCACGCTTACCTGCGTCTTCCCCTCCAACGTTCCAGCTGTAGTCTTTTCGCCCGCTGGCCACCTGTAAGGTCTCCCCCAGAGTTACCGGAGTCTGCTCTCCTAACCCAGGTAACACTGGCAGTCACAGGTGCTCTTGCCACCCCGACGCCCCTGCACACACCTACCTCTAGTTCCCAAGTGTGGGCAGCAGCCCAGCGGTAAGCACAAGCCAGCTGGTGCCATCTCCCAGGCCTAGCCCCCAAACAAGCTGCTCTGCTGACCCAGTGTCCCTCCAGGGCCCTATTCCAGCTTCCACTTGACCCGAGACCCGGACCTCCCTCAGCACTTCTCCGTGACGCCGCAGGCAGGCTGGCCTCTGGGCAGCTGAGGCCCTGGGCGGCAGAGAGAGAGATATCGGCAGCCTCTACTGCCCTGGCCAGGCTCTGCCTCCAGGGCTCCACAGAAAACCTGAGCTGGAAGTCCAGCCTTTCCCAATCCTGGTCCCCAGGAGCCCACTGCCCAGCGGGGGCTTTCTCATTCCCTCTGTCTCTCATCACCCATCTATGTCACTTAGAAACTCACAGACCATCCCCGGCCCACCCCTTCCTGGGCTCCCCCTGCAGGGAATGCAATCCTGACACACTGTTCATGCAGCCTGCAGCCCTCCACCCACACGGACCGCCTTCTCGACCCTCAGCCTGTCAAGGTCTCCCCTTGGTGTTCAGAAAACTGTCCCTCCCGATGAACGCCTGGCTGGCTACTCTTGGTTCAAATCTCAACCCGAAGGTCACCTCCTCAGAGGCCTTCTCTTGACTCAGCCATGCCAGTCGGGGAAAAGCCCTGTTGGTGGCACTCAGCTCATGGCCAGCCCACCCGCATCACGTTCCTCAGGGTTTTCACGTGTGGGGGGGGGGGGCTTGCAGAGCGGTCCATGGGAGAGGGAAACGGTTTGTGCTTGACAACTAGTCAGCAGTTCGAACCCCGCAGCTGGACCATGGAAGGCAGGCCTAGAGACCTGCTTCTGTGGAGGTTGCATCCAAGAGAACCCGATGGAGCTGCTCTACTCCACGATCCAGGGCCCCACTCTGGCTTCTCTTGAAGCTCCACGAAGCAGAGCCTGGCCTTCCCTCCAAGTGCCACCGGATGGGTAGACACCCCCAGTCCCTCTGCTAGTCGCCGGGGGCAAGCTGTTAGTGACACGTGGAGGCCCCTGGTGCAGAGTGGTTACACGCTGGCCTGTGATCTGCAAGGCCAGCAGTTCGAAACCACCAGCCGCTCCTCAGGAAAAAGATGAGGCTTTCTACTTCCACAGAGAGTGGCCACACGCTGTGCTGAGGCGTATGCCCCTTGGCTGCGACAGTGAGTTTGGAGGGTCGTTTTCTTTGAGGGACCGCGCTCTTCTTCACAGACGAAGGCTTCCCATAGGAGAGGGGTCGCAAAGCTCACGGGAATGTCCGTGGGTTTTCGCTCCGTTGTTTAGCTGCAGTCTGATGCTTGTCTGGAGTGCAGGCTCCGTCAGGGGAAGGACTTTTCTTGTTCGACTTAGAGTCTGCACCGGTTGACTGCTGCTGAGGAAGACACTTGGTGCAGGTGGGTGGGAGTGGGGTGGTGATGGTGCAGGTGGTGGCAGTTGTGGTAGTGATGATGGTAGTGGTAGTGCTGGAGGTGGTGGAGGTGGTGGTAGTTAGAGGTGATGGAGGTGTGGATGGTGGTCATGGTAGTGGTGGAGGTAGGTGGAGGAGGTGGTGGTGATAGGGGTGGAGGGCCGAGAGGAAGGGCACATGATGTCTGGGTGGGTGGGCAGACCTCAAGTTGCACCCTCACTCCCAGCTCAGGAATGACCAGCCCTGGCAGGCCCCTCAGAGGCTACCTGTACACACACACACACACACACACACAC